TCACATTCTAAGCTGCGCTGCTCACAGCCCACCTGGAGAGAGGGGGTGCGACGCTCACCCAGCGGGAAGAAGGAAACGTATCACGCCAGCAACCACCGCGTGACCTGGAAGCGGCTCTGCCAGGGCGCAGCAACGTACGAAGCCACAGCAGGGATGCCGCCTCTGAAATGCCAGTCGGAGACCCAGGCCCTGGCCCACAAGCACTGAGGTATTAAATGATCACACTTCTGAGCATTGAGCTTAGGCTAACTTCTCTCCCTCACAATGACTGCTACATGCAAGTGAAATAATGGGTGTAATCTGTAATAGTTAGGAGTCACAATGCAAAGAATTTCTAGCAGATGAAAGCATTTCATTTCTTTCACCAATACCACTCTTTCAGGATACAAAACAGCCTCAATGACAAATATGAGACAAGGCTATATAATACAGAAAATACAAGATAATAGGGGTCTTAGTTCCTTTTCCTTCCCCTGGTGGTGAGGCGCAATTCTCCACACCCACAAATTATAGAGGAGGTTTATTTCTGATTGTCTTTTCAGTCCCTGACTGGCTGGCTGCAAGATGGTCATGGTGGACCTACTGGCTCAGGAGAGCTGCCACATTGTGGTCACCAAGAAGCAGAAGAAAGGGCCAGCAAGATAGCTCAGTGGACTAAATGCCTGCTTTGGCAAGGGACTGGGGTTTGATCCTGGTATCACATGTGGCACAAACCCCACCCTTGGGCGCACTGAGCCACCTGGACCAAGTCCAGGTGTGGTGGCACATGCCTGCAATTCCTGTGCTGGTGAGGCTGAGAACATGAGGATCACTACAAGCCCAAGCTAGTTAGTGAAACTCTGTACCAAATACATAAATGAAAAACAAAATAAAACAAGCAAAAAAAAAAAAAAAAAAAAAAGAGGACGAAGCAGAAGAAGAGGGAGGAGCCATGGAGAGACCCCCTTTCATGTCATACCCTCAGCGAATCACTTAGAACAGTGTCCAGCACTGTACCAGGCTGTGTGTGTGCAGTTGGCATTAACACCAGTTATTAAGTGTCGTTTTAAAATCACAGCAGGTAAGAGGTCCCACACGTTGGCTGGCCTCAAGCTAGAGCTGAGATGACACAACTGAGAGTGCCCAGCTCTGGGTGGCTGGGGAGGCGCTCCACCTCCACGTCACAGCCCAGCCCACTTGGCTTTCAGAGTGGCAATCTGTGTTGGGGTTTAGCAAAAATTAGTTCAAAGGCAGAACAGAAAAAAACACAGGCCCTACCAAAATAGCCACTTTGGGGTGAAAGTTTATACGTAACTATACAAAACCAGTGCATGCGTACCTAACACGCACACACTGTATTGTATCTAGCACACTGTACAGTGTGTGCGACATCTATCGCCAAATGCAAACAATATTTGTTGAAGTGCTTGACACTCCCATCACGCCTTGAAAAAAATAGATTTTAAAATACAAATGGTGCACTTGTAAATACAATACTCGTGATACAATCTGGGTGTAAAATACTGTAAGAAATACCTTGCAAATGGAGCCACCGAGAGGCATTAATAAGGGAAGTTAACAAAAAATAAAACAGCCTTTAAGCAATTACCAAACCCCACACTGTAGTTTGCCCCAAAGGACACATAAAACAAGGTATTTCCCACTTTTAATTCCTCAGAGATCCTAGGGGTGCTGTTCATCTGGGAGGAGCCAGGGTACTCACGGCACACGTGTGAGGTGCAGGGACACACCGGAACAGTCCTTGTGGTCATCTGAAAGCACACAAACACAAGTCTTAAATCGGAATACTTCTCCAGTGTTACTTCTGTTTGATGGTTTAGGGACTATGACATACCCATTAATTCTTTCAGTACCCAACCCGTCCCCAAAAGGACCGCCCCGCACAGGCTCAGGTGTTATGCTGGCTCGGGAAAATGAGTAGTTACAGACTTTTCTGCAGATGCGCTAGTCACTAGCTAGAGCTTGCAGAAGAAGGTTTTGCTATTTTCTCTGCATTATTGAAACGGCTGAAATACCCAGAGAGGCTGGTGAGCGGAAGGAATGGGTAGTTCCGTGAGGCGCCCAACAACTGGCTTTGCCATTTCCCAATATCTGAAGTAACCCATAATTTGTGCTTTGATGGCAGCGTATTACCATTTTTAGGGTCTGTGATGTCTCAGCTTTATGTACAGGAGCCACCTACACTGTGGGATAAACTGACGCTTATTCCTAACTGTCAAACAAACCCCACACTTTATTGATAGTGCCAAGACATCAGGTGAAAGGCTGCGTATGTCTCTTTATCTTTGTCAGCCTCTGCCGAGACCCCTTACCAACCTTCCTCCATTTTTCCTGTTTCCCCAAGTGAAAATAAAATTCAAAATGCCCATCCAAATTCTATCTCTACGAAAGTTTCTGAGTTCCACCACAGAGACCATGAAGAATAACTCAGAATTACTCATTTCTTATATTTCTACATAGGTTAAAAACTTTGTTTCATATTTTATTCTAAGTAAATTAAAAAAATAAGTTCATTGGTATATTATACATAATGATTGTATTCAATATATTAAATTTGAACCTATGCACAATATATTTGGGTTCCTTTTTATAATCCTCTAACTAAAATTTTAATTTCAATTCTGTTTATTTTATATACATGCTTATTATACATATCAAGTTTGTATACATTCATTTGTATGTACAAAGTTGATACAATTATACTCAAAACTATGAAGCAAAATGTATTAATAAACAATAGCAGAGGGAATAAGGTTTGTTTGTTTTTGGTACTGGGAATCAAACTCAGGTCTCTGAGCTTCCAGGCAGGTGCTGTGTCACTGAGCTATATCCACAGGCCCTGGGAATGAAGTTTTAATAGGTTTTTTTTTTTCATTCAGCAGGTCATTTTTTGTAAGAAAAATATGGGCAGCCTTTACAGAACAGCATAAAAATAGGCCTTTACAGAACAGCATAAAAATAACTAACAAGATATGCTTTGGTTTGACTTAAATAATGCTTACCACAATAAATTAATGTTTTGAGAATAAAATGAAAAGGAAATTTTTCTGTATAACGTTAGGTTTTAAAACAGTACAAAAATAAAGTAAAAGACAAACATTTTATATTTAACCATTTTCTATCTTTCTAGTTGTACAAAGGAATCTATCAAATCTCATAAATCAAGCTCAGGGCAGAAGTCTTTTCATAATAGTTTTAGCAAGATCTTTTTCATATTTTCAAGTGACTTTAAGAGAAAATAAATAATAATAGCGAGTAAGAACCTCAGGCTTATCTTAACCTTTGCCTATGCTTTTAAATACTAAATGACAACTGAGTGTATTTCCTCAATTTGTTACATAAAACACTTACTTTTAAGAACAACATTCCCCAAATATCCTACATGTGACTTAATGAACATGTCAGGTTTATACTGTTCTTGGAATGACCTTGCTGAGTCACATTTATATCTCCACTGATCCAGACAGAACAGCACAAAATATACCATCTCTTTGTATCAGATGAACTCCCAACTCCAGAGATTCACTGAGTTACCTCTGTCGACAGGAGGAAACATTTTTCATGTGTATACAAAAATGCCACCTACTGCATAAGCTTATTCTGAGAAGGGAGAACCATCCACTCACCCAGTACTTATTTATGGGTGTTTTATACTTTTTTTTTTTGGGGGGGGGGGGTGGAACCGGGGATTGAACTCAGGTCCTTGCACTTGCCAGGGAAGCGCTTATGCCACTGAGCCATCTCCCCAGCCCCTCACCCAGTACTTATTAACCAAGCAGCTTCTTGCAGGCATTATGCTCTACACTGGGTTAGAGTGAAATACAGATAGGTAGATACATAGACAGACAGACAGACAGACTGACAGACAGACAGACAGACAGACAGACAGACAGACAGACAGACAGACAGAGACAGACAGATCAATCTCGCCATCTATTCTGGTTTCCTGCTCTCAGCTGCTTATAATCTCCAATAGGAGAGGAGGTGGGGCAGGAGAGGTAGGGAAACGCAGAACACCAAGAGTGGAAACAGAATACTCGATAAGAAAATGTGTGGCAGGCAGCTAGCTGTCACGCTACTGTGGTCAGAGAAGGACCACATCTGGCCAGAGCCTGAAGGAAGTGGGCTCCCCGAGACTGGCAGATAAACATTCCGGGAGAGGGAGGTGTAAGGTCTCCAAAGAACTGAAGATGCGTGCAGGACAGGAGTCCGGGCTTGGAGTCTGTGCACAAGGAAGCCACGCAGCGAGGGACAGGGTCAGGTACAATACCCGCTAGGAGCACGGCCTTTGTACCCACACCTTACGTATCAGTCAGTGAATGCTGCTAAGGTTTTTAAAAAAATTTTAATCACAATCTCAGAGGAAATCTGGGCCACAGGATACCTGCCTTTAAACCCAGCCCTGGGGAGGCTGAGGCAGGAGGAACTCAGTTAGGACAGTCTAGACCACCTCATGACTTCAAGGCCAGCCTGCAATATGTAGTGAGACTGTCTCAAACCACCACCACCGCCGCCACCACCACGACCACCACCACCCTACCACCACCGCCACCACCACCGCCACCACCACCACCAAAGCAACACCACAAATTCCAGGGAAGAGTCCCCCCGCCCCCAATACAGTATAGGTCTCAGGAAAAGGTCAGGTGAATACTGAAAAATGTCTTCATTTTTCATAACATCTTTGCACTGACAGAATGAAGTGAATCACATTTTGATTTTTAATGTAAGTTGGATGATTATTCTTCGTCACACTTCAAAAAGTTAAACAGGAGAAATGAATAAATAACAGGTTCTAAGAATTGTTGAAGGGATAGCTCAGCAGACTAAAGTGCCTGCTTAGGCAGAGCACAGGGACGGGGGTTCGATCCCCTGTGTGCTGTGCTGGACCCCCCCCCCCAGGTTCGATGAGAAGGTGATTGAGACTGGGCATGGTGGAACGCACTTGTAATCCCAGTGCTGGGAAGGCTGAAAACAGGAGAATCACCATGAGTCCAATCTGTGTAGTGAGACCCTATAGACCCTGTAGACCCTGTCCAAAATACATAAAAAAAAAAAAAAAAAAAAAAAATTGCTGAAGAAATTTATAAAGTGTAACTCTGTCACCAGGTTCACTGTAACTCACGGTATTATGCCCAGTATAATAAAACAAATCATCTTTCTGGTTGATAATGTCCTTTATTAGAGCTATCTAAACTGAGAAGTTTTTCTTCAGAGAAAACCACAAAAATTAGCCATAAACAACTTTTTTTTATTTTTTATTTTTGGCGGAACCAGGGATTGAACTCAGGCCCTTGCGCTTGCCAGGGAAGCCCTGATTCCACTGAGCCATCTTCCTGGCCCAAATAAGGTTGGCTTAATTTTACTTTTTTTTTTTTTTTTCCCAGACTCGGGGATTGAACTCAGGCCCTCGAGCTTGCCAGTGAAGCTATTATTCCACTGAGCCATCTCTCCAGCCCCCATGAACAACTTTTAGCCTAAAGAGGCTTCTGATTCTCTTCTCAGAGTCTCCTCCAGATGAAGTCAGCTGTCCCTGGGTAACTGCCCTCTACTAGCGTCCCTCTCGGGAAGCTTTAAGGATGAGGTGCGGCTGCGCCATTTGCCACCCTGTGCAGGCATCAGACTGCATTTCTTTCTTTTAAGACTATATGTTGAATCAGCTATCTGCCATATCAAGTAAGAAATTCAAAGGCATCCAACACAAAAAGAAAACAGTAAAAAGATCCAGGAATAATACAAGATGGACCTTATAGAGAAAAATGTGAGCTGGGCTTAGATGCTATAAGGATTTGCAGGAAAAACTCACTTGGAGTGACTCTAAATTTTGTTTCTAAAGTACAAAGCATGCATGGGAGTGTGCCGGTGGATATTCATAGATCCAATGCAAAGCCTTTTCTGTTTCACAAAACATTCCAGGTATCAAAATACAGAGAAGGAAATCTAGCAAAAACATACTTTTACAAAACATATTACACAGCTTTTGAAAACTGGTCAAGAGTCTGTTTTCATCAAATGTATCTGGTTGATTTTATCTAGTAATTGAAAGGAATTTAAAATTGTGTGTGTGTGTGTGTGTACGCACGTGTGTGTGTGTACGCACGTGTGTGTGTGTGTGTGTGTGTGTGTGTGTGTGTGTAGACATGGTGTTTTAAATAATGCTTTAGGTTATCCACCGTTATTTAACCCTGGAGAAGTAGAACTACACATCCGGAACTTAAAAAAAAAATTATTTTGTTTATGTGCAGTTTAATAGTTGAACAAAATTCTTCAAGTTTTCTCCAAGTAAATATTTATAGAGTGTTCTTACTTGTATTATAGGCGTTATTGCATTTCATACTTTCACTACTTCAAAATCAAAGCTCATAGTCATAAATGGTTGGGATCTCTTCTGGGACATTCTGTGCAGCGTGACCCCAGAAGCCACTGGGAGCAATTTGAATTCCACCAAGCAAGGTGGTCTGCGCCTACAGCTGCTCCTGCAGCCGGTGGCGGCTTTGGGGAGAAGCATATTTCAGCCTCAGGCTCTGGCAGGGAGACCATGACCTTTTAGCTTCAGCGTGGGCCTTGCCACAATGATAGATTCCTATTTTCATAACCTTTACACTGATCCTACTTCTGGTGCACTCAGAAACTGCAGCTGGTTTTGCATATTTCCCTGACAATTTGCAGGGTGTTCTGCTTTGTCCTTCTGTTGTCACTCAGTGCCTGGGCCACCAGATATGAAACCTCATGGAAACGGATCCATTTCAAT